CCGATAACTGGTGGTGGCCCTGTCCTATGTCACGTATGCGATGAGAAACGAAAGTGTCTTTACGGAACTGCCAGTTTGAGTGTTTGGATTGACCATAAACTCCTTCTTTCATAGCAAAAAAAAGGGGAAAGAAAACAGAAAAAAATATCATCATCGAAATGAAAGAAGGTGATCCCATGATTTCAGTAATGTAAGTTTTTGTTTTTTTCTGCCAACCTCGCAACTATATTGAGGGATTTGCGATCTGAATAATTTGAACCCCAAGGCCCCAAAAGTGAGATAAGCAAGATTCATCCCTTGCGTGCCGTCAATGTAAAGAACAACGTAGAATCTTTACAGTGACATTGTTTTCCTCATTTATGGCACTGTAACTTTCCAGATCAGATCATGGTGCAAGAACATTATAGCTCATGCCCAACTCCACAGAGTTGTCACTTTCCCACAAAATTTCTCGATCTTCAGTCTGCTTCAGCCATTATTGACCTCCTCATTGGCATGTTAAAATCAGCCGATCAGCCACCACAGAAGCTTAAGTGAGCGATCAAGCGATAAGAGTTACGGCTTTCCCTGTTAAATAACGTCTTAGAACAGCTTGATTCACCCGACACGTCTTGCTATTCACTGCGCGCACCCCAACCATTATCAGCCTACAAAGTACTATTGTTATCTTTGTTGCTTGCCGGATTTCATGTAGGCACCACCCCCCCCCCCCCTCCCGCCCTCGATAGATATTTTTTGCTCAGTTCCCAGTCAGTGTTATTGACAAAAAGACGAGCTGAAGGTTAAACTATTGACTCCTGACTACTTAACGGGGTTTTTTTTTTCATCTCTAAGATAGAAGTGGGCTAACATGACAACCCCCCCCCCCCCCCCACCCCTTTCTTTTAATGGCAGCTAACATTCGTGAAGACATTCGTGAAGACTGGTTGGTGTCAAAATGCAAGTATGCATATTTTCTCATAAAACTATATTTTGATTAATATACCAGTCACTTAAGCTAATAGATACAATGCCCAAATGTGTCATAATACTAAATAATCTTTTTTTCAACTATTTTGTTATTTCAAAGCATCCAAGAAAGGGAAGCGAGAAGGAGACATTTTTTCCTCTTTCTCTCCTTTCCTCTCGTTTCCACCACTAATCTCCCCCCCCCCTCTCTCTCTCTCTCTCTCTCTCTCTCTCTCTCTCTCTCTCTCTCTCTCTCTCTCGCTCGCTCGCTCTCTCGCTCTCGCTCTCGCTCTCGCTCTCCCTCTCGCTCTTTATTCAGCTAGGAAAGAAAACGGAGTTGGAGACGGTAATGAAGCTGTCCCGAAAAGTAAAACGCAATTCGAGGCCATGGAACTATTGGATTGTAGTTCGGAGCTAACGTGACATTATAATAAATTGTTAGTTTGTTCTGAAGGATGCATTTTCCAATTGATCATGCCGACATAATATTTTGTAATGTATAGATGAGGTTGAATGGGTTAAACTTGTGCAAAGAAAAGTAAATATGTTGGTGTGAGTCAGACTCATTTGACCACTTAAATATAGTTCTAAATTGTAAATAAGGGGTTTGAACTATTTCCTAAGCTGCTTTCTGAGTTGGCTTTTGTTTTTAACATAACCACATCCCTGTAAACCGCATGTTTAAGTGAACATTAAGAAAAGAAAATATTTTTGCCGTATTCTTGGCAAACGGCATAATGACATTAAAAATTTAAGGAGAAATAACTCGACTCCCAATTTTTACCGAAGCAGTTACAAAAATAATATCGGGGGTCTTAATCTACACTGAGATTGACTTAACAGTGTGAGGCTTGAGTCTTTACGGGCAGCACCAGAATGACAAGCTAAATGTTTATGTATACTACAGTAAACAGTATCCAGTCCAAAGGATGTTGTGCAGTTTCTAGTCAAGCCCTTTTTGGGGGGTCGAGCTCACACAATCTTATATACTTGTTTCCCAGAACACTTCATGTAGGCAGAATGACTAGAGATAGAGAGTTCTATTGTAGAAAGGTTCCGAAAACCAAAGATCAACTTCTGCAAAAGCGAAGAAGAAGAAAAGAAGAAGAAGAAGAAGAAGAAGAAGAAGAAGAAAAGAAGAAGAAGAAGAAGAGGAAGAAGAAGAAGAAGAAGAAGAAGAAGAAGAAGAAGAAGAAGAAGACGAAGACGAAGACGAAGACGAAGAC